GAATGGTAATGTCCCCAACTGACCAAGCTGAACAGTATTGGCTGCAGGACTAGAGCTTGGCCCTAACAAGATTTAAGGTTTGCATCAATATTTATACGGTTTAACTACTTAGCTGGATCCAAAGAGTATGTGTACACACACACAAACCTACCTAAGTCTTGTGCATTACATTACTTATTACCAACTAATTGATGAGCCAAGAACATGATATTCACACCACAAACAACGTACACAAAGGTGTAGTCATTTTGGCACACACACAAGGCTAACAGTCAGTTAAGAGGACACGTACTAGTGCAACACGTTACACTTGCTCTATTATGAAGGTAAAAGGTTTGCTTTTGGCCAGTGCAAACAGAGAATTCTTATTCACAGATGTCAGGCACATGCCCCCAGAATACATGCATCACTGAAGGCAGGGTTATGTTATGCTTTGAATACCATACATGCAGGCACAAAGAATTAAAATTAATTTTATAACTATGAAAAGCCTTAAGGAAAAAAACCTATCAATTACAACTTTAAAGTTTTGGTTTTAGAGGAAGATACATGAGGATTTTCTCTACAAATGGTTACAGATGGCTGGGATACCTACCACTTGCAAGTCAAATCCACAGTAGTCATTTGCCTTTTTGTTCTGCCTAATTCCAGCTACCATGAAAAATATTAATTGAGCCAATAGAGGGGAAATATGGATGACTGAAATGCTAATTTGTGAATAAAGCTTTGTATAATGATAAAAAAACTGTCAGAGGAATTTTTAATTTAGGTAAAGTCAGTAAAATACATACTTCAATACAAAATATCTTTGAAGGACCATCTCTATGCTGATAAAAAACACAAGCTGTGATATGTGAGTAGTTTTGAAATTGTGCTTTCCCTTTCCTAAATGAAAAGTAGATAGAAATATTGTAGGCTAAAAAAGAAAATGGGGCTAGATTTTAGTCACTGTCCAATATTCAACATTTCCCTTGGGATTCCAAATATTTAATTATAATTAATGACAGGTGTTCACATAGGACTGTTGAAAGAAATTAAGTTTTTTAATGTTTGCTTCTTTGTAACACTATTGTGATAACTTTGATAACCACAAAGAGCAGGGCAATAATTTTTATTTTTGGTATTTCCACACTGATGGTTGCAAAAGTCTCAACTGAAGCTCATGGAGTGACTAGAGGGAATTAGTAAGCAAGCACTAATAAGAAAACTCCTTTTGACTTCTGCATATTTAATTTTAAAAATAGGTTATTTTTAGAAAATTATTTGTAAGGACTATTCATTTGCCTCAATAAGGGTTTTTATTTCTTGTCCTCAATCTTGCAAAGGTTTTGATGGTCAGGTAAAGTCTCAGTGGACATACAGGTAAGATTGTGTACTGCCATAGTATTTAAATAAAGTTCGAGTTTGTTCTTTAAGGCAGTTATTTCTAAAAGGTACCCAAACTTTCTGATCACGTTTCTTTTGATAGCATGTTCTGCAGTAATGAAAACAAAGATAATTAGGAATAGGGTTTTATAGAAGTTGTCGCATAGGACAGTGCTGCATAGTGTAAGCTGCTGAAAATCAGGCTGGAAATTTAGATAGAATGAGTTGAGATGCCCCAAAAAAAGAGATGAGAGTAAACCTTATTAGGTACCCATGTCCTTACTTCAGACATTAGTTATAGTCTGCAGCATGGTGCACAGGAAGACAATATGCTCTAGAACAATTCAAGGGCTGAAAATGGGGCACCTCCTGCACCTTCCCAGCTGTCCCTTCCCATAACTTTGAGGTACCAGCTGTACTTACTGTTCTGAGACTTGAGAGAATAGCAGACGAATAAGAAAATGTACTTTGCCTCATTCCCAAGCAGGCCTGGAACTTAAGAGCTAATAATCAAGCTAGTATTTAGACTTCTAATTTCTGACAGATCTTAGTGGAAAAGTAAGAGTCTAAGTAGGTGGCTGAACCCCTAAAACCATAGCCATTATCTTTCACACCTAGTAAAAGAGAAAAATCTTTACAAAGTACTATCTTTCCAAACACAACTTTTCTTTCTAACTGTCATATCAGAATGACTTCTTTTCATGTACCACTTTGAGGTTTAAAACTATCAGACTGTAGAAACGAACAAGAAACAAAGAAGTGTGTTCCTGAAAATAAAATACTGCTATCTGAACCATCTTCTCGGGTCCTGATCCCAAGCTTACCATTCCATTGAAAGAATTTCAAAGTTTGCCTCACGTCCTTACAAAGTGCTTTGGTTCATGGCAGGGATTTTATAATGCACAAGCAGCGCAAAGTAAACTCTGGCAGAACCCCAGCACGTTCCATCAGCCTCTTTTAAGTGAACAGAGTAGCTCAATTTCTAGACAGTGTCAGCTTGGATCTATCTGTCTGCACTCTCAATTCCTTTGCATGCCTTCTATCTTATGAATGTCCTGGTCTCACTCACTTTGAACTAACAACTTAAACCTAATTATACCTTAAAACTTTCCTAAACAATCACTCTTTCTACGTGGCAACATTATGGCATTATTGACACTCTGTACTTGGGTACCTGAGAAAGCCTGTCCCTTGTGCCCCTCAGGTTCAGTGTCACCTGATGTGCCAGAAAAGGCAGCTAGCTAGCAACAAACAGCCAGACCAACAGTGTGCTGACAGGGCTCTGCAGAAGGCTGGACTTCACCCTTTATTCAGGTTGGGTCCAGATCTTTTCAGTTACCACTGAGTTGAGTCAAGTCTTAAAGTCAATGGGATAAACAGGGGCACTGGTTTTACCTGTAGCTTAGCTGAAGGCTTTATCAAGTGTTAGAGGCTCAGCCTTTTTATTCACAAAAAAACAGGACTGTCCTGGAGCTTTCATCAGATGCACAGGCTCTGGTGACATAGAAGAAGGTTCTCTACATTTAGACAGTTCACTACCATGCCAGAATAATTCTGCCATTGTTGGTATCAAGTATGCTAATTTCTGCTTTGGGGTGTGACAGGTCACCAGTGCAACACACAAATGGATAATCCTTCATTCCGTGGACATTTTTCTTCAAGAACACTGGGTAACTCTTGGAAAGGGTTCACAAAGTTGGATGCTTCTCATCCTGAGCATCCTTACATACACCAAAAATCTTCCAGAGCTGTCCATGGGAAAAGCCATTTAAATATTTACAAGAACGTGTGCTGAGTTTTGGCAAACTTCCCTCCCTCTTAAAAACAAAAGCCAAAATAAATTATAAACAAACAAAAAGATCTCCAAGTCCACAAGGAAGTCCTTGCCTTTTGTTTGCTATTGTTTTTTTGATTCCAGGATGATGTATGGGCTCAAAGGGTTACTGAAGGCAAAGTTACAAGAAGGGCTACCACGCAATGTCAGCAAAACACAGCATGAACAAAAAGTAAGGGCTGAAAACCAGTGCTCCCTTTCCATACATTGGCCAAATACAAACTGTTGACCTGCAAGGCACATGACAGCATACACTGCTCACCTAAATGTATGTACTCTGAGTGGGATGCTGATACAGAAGGGGGGAGAGGGAGAGCAATACATCTATTAACCTTTATTCAGAGTTGAACATGAAAATCAGTGCATGATTTTTGAAAGAAAGCAAAGCAGAACTGCAAGCAGTTGGTTTTGAATACTGAGTATCTTTCATAACTGTAGAGAATCAGGGTAATACATCAGGTACTTGTTCAGCTTCTGCAGAAAACTGGAGCGGCCTTTTCTCCACTTTTCAGCCAATATTAAAAAAAAGCTTATTTTTATTCCAATTAATTTCTTTTGGTATTCTGGGCCCCAGGAAGGTCACACTCAGCTGCCTGTACCTTAAGCCTGTGGGACTGATTCTCCTGGTAACAGTGGAAAGCTGTCCCAGCAATACAATTACTCACAAGTTGGGCAGCAAAAGTGAACAAAGAATCCAAGCCCTTGGCTTAAAACAAATCTAACATAAAAAGTAGCCCACTTACAGTGGCATATTTTTTGTGGGCAAAATGCACCTAATTACATAGATATTAATTGTAACTGTTCTTATTCCAAGGGGCTATAAGATGTCCCTACATATATTAGAGCTTAAAGGAACTATGTGCCAACATATGTGCACAATAACATTCATTTAATTCATTCATCTGATTGGCAGTGTTTAGTCAAAACCAATATTTCAAAGCATTATTAGTTTAATGCCCCCTTCATTTCCAATGTGAGGCAGTGCAAACTTGAAAAGAGACTGCAAAAAGCTTTAATAGACTTTCTTAGTAATGTCTTGTTCCTCACCTCTCAGGTTAGTACAATAGCTCCATCCAAATCCAGCCAGTCAGAACCATGCTACGCTACACACAGTAACAAGCACAAAGTACAGACAGGAGGAAAGTAAGGGCTGGTATTTTCCACCTCTTTCTGTTGACATAAAATACTTTAGAACCTATACTGTCCTAGAAATAACTTTTTTTCAGTTTTTCCATGAGTGGTGTATGACAATTACAGGATAGCACCTAGTATACTACAACCACTTACTCCCCAATAGTATATTGTTGAATGTTTTAAGGAAAGTGCCAGATCCCATATAAGACATTTAAAAAAAAATCCAAAACAATAGTCAAATTAAACTTTTCTTCAGAAAGACTGCTATGAAAGACCCTCTTTTCAAGAGGTTCTTTTTGGCATCCTCAGGGCAACTGGACATCTAGGAATGTTTGAGATACTTTGCTTAAATGGACAAAGTGTGGTATAACTGCTCTTGACTTCGGCTTTGTTGTTTGTTGGGGTTTTTTTGTCTAAATCTCAACAAAATGATGTATTTTTGTACCTATATATTTATTTATTTTTGCCAATATATGCATGAGGAATGTAATGAAGTGGCATTGTGCTGCTAGTAGCTCAGCAGATGTTGAAATCAGTTCCAGTTCCTGAAGACAACTTCTTGACAATATAGTCTCAACATTCACAATAACCAAAATGTGGGATTCATAACATCATTCTTACAAATATATACTCTATCCCCCTCTGTGTTGTAAACCCTCAGCCTTACTTGTTTCCTTGTACTTTATGATCGTATGTGCCTGCATGCTTATAACCAGATACATATCCTGAGTTATCCACCAGATCTTCTCGGCCAGCTCTGCCTTTTCCTTTCCCACTGGCATCAAATCTCTCTTTGTGAGAACCCGTGAATTTTGAAGTATCTGTAAGGCGTGATACAGTTGGAGATGAAACGGTTTTCTATTAAAGAAACAAAACAAAAACACGCATCAGAAATCAATTATTCTTAATACAGATATTTGTACATGTAACCAACACTTAAATATCTGCTAATGGCAAACACTATGTAAATACTCATTTCCAGCAAAAGGAGACAAAAAATATTTGTTTCTTGCCATTACATACAATGACAATAATCATATAGCAAAGAAGAAAATAACACAAATTATATCAAAACCTTCTGGAAGAGACTTTGAGTATGAGATACTTCTGATTAATAATAAAGTTCTAAGCACCAAAGATATGAAGAAGTCATAGGAAACAGCCATGTTCAAAATCCATTATGTCAACATTGAAGCATAAAAGCCTGGCTCCATCAATACAGAAAAAGTAAACCAACACAGCTAGCTCTTAAAACATACAGTTTTCTTGTTCACATTGACTTGGTAGCACTTTATAACCAGGAAGACTCTAAATGAAAGACAAAAGTAATATTCAAATATTCAAATTATATCCAAGGGCAATGTGAGAGAAAATTGTGCACAGGTATCCCAGACACCAGCAGCAGGATTTAGGAATATTTATTTCTGAAAGCCAAGAACACTGACATGATGGTGCTATCTACAGCAGGCATGAAAAAATGTGCTGCTTTTTCCTCTCTAGGCCTTTTTAGAGGCTTGCCTGCCCCCCCCTCGCAGGGCCTCCAATGTTGTCTGTAAGAATTTTATCTTTTCAAGGAGTTAACCTCTCTGTAAGGCAAGAGAAGAAAAAACATCAAACTGTCAATGGGAAGATGTTCTGCCCCAGGCAGCAAAGCTTCCTTGAGTGACATAAATTCCCCCCTCCTTGAATAACTCTTCTGAAAAAGGTCTTCTACACTTACAGGCAATTTTTCAAATAGTAATTAAACTTACCATTACAAATTCTAAGAACAGCAATCTGTCCTGAGAATTAATTTGGCAAAGGAAAAGGCAGTCAACCAGAGTTTCTGAGAGTTCTCTCTAGATGGGACAATACAGTATGTGCACATCTAGGTAAAACTGATTTTCTGTAAAGTATTTAAATACAAGGAAAATAAATATGTGTTAAGTTTAATTACTATTTCAAAAAGAAAGACTACAGCTTCTGCTCCTTTATTTCAAAGGCATGGTGCAAAAGGTATGTAATACCTCAATTTGTGCCTCAATACACAAATTACAATAAAAATGCATGAGAATTTTTGTACAGTTACATATCTGGTAACATACATAATAAAACCTATGTGAGCGTAATATGAAAGGAAATGCATACATATTAACATGTAAGAAGAAACAGTCAAACAAGGATTAAAACAATGTCCTATGTCAATAAGGAGCAATGTTCCCAGGAAACTATTCCCAGAATACCATTCCCAGTGGTAAACTTGAGAAATGTGCTGTTTATATCAAGACACCTGCATTCTAATAAAACCATAACACAGATACTTATCAGAAAATCAAGGTGTATCAACATCTTGTTGCTATCAACAAGATGATAGTAACAAGTCTGCAGTATGCCACAAAAGCCTTTATGTTTCCTATTAGTCTCCTAGGAAAGCAGCAACATATTTCAGACCAACAAAGAAAACTGAGAGTGGGCAACAGCTTGGCAGATTAAAAAATACGATCTTTTTGTCCCAAAAAACAGTCAAACAAAACCTAAAACCCCAGCACAGAGAGAGTACAAATCCAGAGCGAAAACTGATGTGATCCCGCATCCTGTTGTCTTTCAGCCCAGGATGGATCAGAAGGCTTCCTGCATCACAGGAGCCACAATGTGTGAAATGAATATTAAGGCAGTAGTGGCAAGGCAAATATTCTATCTCATAATTGATTTTTACTCAGTAAGAACTGCAGCCTTTTCCTAAGTTGCATGGAAAATTACAGGTGTGCCCCTTCCCATATGTGATGGAATATTACAATTGAAAGATGGCAATTCCTGTTGGTTTGCTGTTGGCAAAATTTCTATGAAATGGGAGGCTCACTTTGTTTTCAACAATACAAAATTCAAGCAATTTTAATTCCTTGCACATTATGCTCTCACTCTCTGAACTGATACATCTATCATCTATAAAAGATCAGAGATAATGAGATGCCACTACAAGGCTACACAGAACACCCCACTTCTCATTTTTCTTCTTTGTTTTCATCATTCTTATGACGAATGCATATCCATTAAAAAGAAAATACTACTTTCTCTTTAAGGTTGTGTGAACATTACACAGAAAGGCCAAGTGCAATATAAGCATCCTTTTAAGATGCTTTCATTCAAAAAAGCCTTTGTAAATACAGAGTAGAATACACAACGACTTCATAGTCATCTTGGACTCCTCAACCAGAAGCACTAGTGGTACTGTATATTACAGAATCATAGAAACGTTTAAGCTGGAAGAGATCTCCAAAGGTCATCTGGCCCAAACCCCCAACCCTCACCTAGAGACAGTTGTCCATGAGCATGTCCAGACAGCTTTTGCATATATCCAAGGATGGAGACACAAGAAATTCCCTGGGCAATCTATGACAGTGCTTGGTCACCTTCACAGAGAAAGAGTGTTTCTAGAAGTTTCAACAGAATCTCCCATGTTTCAGTTTGTGCCCATCACCTCTCGTCCTGTCACTGGGCACTACTGAAAAAGAGTCTGGCTCCATCTTCTTTTGCACCCTCCTTTCAAGTATGGATGAGATTCACCCTTGAGCCTTCTCTTCTCCAGGTCAGATACTCCCAGCTCTCTTAGCCTTTCCTCATCTTTATGGTCCCTTGCTGGACTTTCTCAAGTAGCTCCACATCAGGCTTCTACTGGGGAGCCTAGAGCTGAACGCAGCACTCCAGATGAGACATCACCAGTGCTGAGCAGAGAGGAAGGAATACCTCCCTCTGTTTGCATGTCAATACTTCTAACGCAGCCCAGGATACCAGTAGCCTTCCATGTGGCAAGACCACCTCTCTGGTTCATATTCAAATTGGTGTTCACGGGGACCCCTAGGTCCTGTTCTACCAAGCTGCTTTCCAGCTGGGTGGCCCTCAGCATGTACTGGTGTGGGGGCTTGTTACTCACCAGGTGCAAGACTTTGAAAATCTCCTTGCTGAGCTTGCTAAGATTTCCTGTCAGCCCATTTCTCCACCCTGTTGGGTCCCTCTGTATGGCAACATCTGCATGACCTATCAGCCACTCCTCCCAGCTTTGTGTCATCAGCCAACTTGCTGAGAGTACTCTCTGCCCTAACATGCAGATGATTAATGAAAATGCTAAATGAGACTGGACTCAGTATGGTCCGCAGGGGTACACCACTAATTTCCAGCTGCCAATTATACTTTGCACTGTTCATCACTACCCTCAGGGCCCAGTCATTCAATTTTCAATCCACCTCACTGTCAGCCCATCCAACCACTACAGCACCAGCTTGAGGGGCTGTGAGACTCTTATGAGAGACCATATCAAAGGCCTTACTGAAGTCCAGGTAGACACTATCCACTCCCCTTATGTACTGGGCCAGTCATTTAATTGTAGAAGTTTACCAGGTTGGTCAAGCATGACCTTCCCTTGGCAAAGCCATGCTGATTACTCCTGATGACTTTCTCGTCCTTCATGTGCCTGGAAATTATTTCTAGGATTAGCTGTTCCATTACTTTCAGTGTCCTAAGGTTAGAAGTTTATTCATAAAGATTCCTCTACGAGTTGATAACTTCTTTTTAGTGAACTGCCTTTATGAAGTGAATGTGCAACCAACTCTTTTTATCAAAATCCCTTTTCTGTTTCTGAACAACAAAACCAACTATGCAGACTAAACTGAAAGTTGAGAAAAAGGCAAAAAAATTAAAAGGGTAGCTGTGAGCTCATTCTTCTGTGCAACCCATCTGCTCATTATTAACTGCACAATGGTACTGGGAGGCAAATAAAAAAAGGGGAGTGGGAAAGCTGACCATCCCTCCTAAGTGAGGAGAAATGTAAGAAGAAATATAGTGAAGAGCACAGAAGGCTGGATGAAGACAGTTTCCATGTTAGCAGGTCACTGCTCTTTCTTCTTTTTCACAATGAATCACACACAAATGATTCTGTCTTGTCATAATGCAATAGCTTGAACTGTTTACCTTCTAGAGTAAGTTATATAATCTCTCTAGTTACATTATTCTAAAGGCAATAAATTCCTTCAGGCCAACCTCCTCCCTTCCTTTCTGTTGAGATCACAGAAGCCAGCATTTTCATTCTCATTCATACAGTTAACCAAAGTTTTCATATCACAGAAGATGCACATGAACTTTTTTTTTAAACTTTCTCCTAAGAGAAAAGATTTACTTAGCAAAACAGAATCACATACAATCATTAAATGTTCCAAAATGAGTTTATACAGTGAATCAACCAAAGGAATTTTCCAAAAATAGCAAGACTTCTCTGTTCTCCAAGATCAACCATTCTTCTCTTCACTGTTATTTCCATTAACACAAGCCAGCAGCTATAGTTTCAGTGTCTTGGACTCTATCAAAAGAAGAGATCACTGACAGAAGACATGTTTATTCATGAAACTTTTTTTTTACTGGTATCTTGCTCTGGGCCACTGTGCTCCCCAAAATCTTAAAAAAAAATATTTTAAAAATGGCTTTTGCTCCTTCGCTGTCAGTTTCCAACCAAAGATGCGGTCACATGACCTCCAAGTTCACGAAAATATCTCAGTTGAGTCAGGAAAGGTATGTATGCCTCTCGCCTCATTTAACTGAAACTCCTCACACACTAAAATCTCACTGAGAAGATCATAACAGGCCACAGCCTCAGGACCAGCTATGGGGAAAATAAGAAGCCATTTTACTTGGACCAGTAGATTTGCTAATTTAAAGCAATCATGCATTTTTTCTTAGCAATTCAGTATTTTCCCTCACCTTGTGTCACTGTCTACAGAAATGTGATGCTAAGACAGCAAGGGCCTTGGAGCATGCGGCACACATGGAAAAGATGACAGAAGGGTGTTCATTCAGACTCAGAAGAAAAAAAGGAGAGGTAAATTTTATTC